GCTTTGCTGGCACATACACAAAGCCGTGGTCTTCATTGGTCTTCATTGTCCCTGCTCCTGGGCCATAATTGGTACTTGGTAATGCTTATCAAATTGAAAAGATTGAAATCAAAGGGCAACAGATATTAGAATCTGATTCAATAAACCAAGTAAAATTAGGCTTTTATTTTTTGTTGTTGTTAATGCTCACGCAAAATTCAAATCTTGCGTGAATTTTGGGACACCCTTTATATGTGCATATTACTGTTGCAAACTTGGAAAGGTGTTGAAAGCGCAGAGGTGAAAGTTCAATGCCCTCTGGTAGCACTAAGGAGTGCCCAGCAGTCTGATGAAATGCTTTCTCTATGACCGAATTTCAGCCGGCCGCTCTGGATCCCATCCTGAGAACGCTTTCCTCACGCAGTTAGTTAGCCCTGACCTTGGGTGACCCGTTGCAGCCTGCCTTTCACCTCTTTCTCTGGTGTATTGTTCGTAGGTGTTCTCCTACTCAACGCTGTCCTCACGGTCCGGGCGCATCAGGCCAATTCTCATAAGGAGAGAGGTTGGGAGCAATTCACCGATGTGGTTGTGTCCTGGCTAAACCAGAACTCGAGTGGCCTCGTCTTCTTGCTCTGGGGCTCTTACGCTCAGAAGAAGGGCAGTGCCATCGATAGGGTATGTGGTTTTTAGCAGTTTGAACCAGCGAGACTCGAGAAATCCTCGCAGTGTAGTCCTGGAAAATCCGTGCCATAAAATGAAGCTTATTTTCCCTGAAGACTGGCAATTAGGGTTGAAAATTGGACAAAATTTAGACAAATTACAGTAATGATCAGTGATGTATGAGGAAAGTGACTGGCCAACCTATGATTCAATAGTTACTAATACAGGCATAAACCTGCCATATACAGGTCCCCAGCTACCATTTATTTAACAAATAATACAATAAGTCAGCAATCTTCAACCCGTGTGTCACAAGCATTTTTAAGACATGGCAATACCTGACTATTTAGTCAGGGGGCACTGACCTTTTTTCTCTTAGATTGTCAAATAAAAAAAAATGACAACAGCCAACACAAAAATAGCCGTCTGGTGTGAATGAATCAAAATTATACCTTTTTTATTTTTTTGTCAGATCAGAAAATATATTTTTTGGTGTGCCGCAGAATTTTGGTACTTAATGTTTGCCCTTAGATGAGAAAGGTTGAAAATTGCTGATCTACCCAGTTGTCCAGCCAGAAATCAAATCAGATATCATTCATAACACCTCCTTACCTCTCTTTTCCCTTTCTTCCTCTCCCTCCCCCAACCCCCTATCCAGTCTGTCATTCATAGCCTAAGTTCTCTCTCATCTCTCAAACCCATCCATCATCCTCCCCCTCTAAATGCCTTTGCCTTGGTTTAGGCCCCTCTGATCTTGCCTGGAGCATTCAGATGCCTTCTCCCTGAAGGCCCTGACTTAGGCTGATAAGCTGGGGCCTTGGGCGTGGCCCTGGTCTCAGCCACAGCTTTCTTCACTCTCAACTCCAGGCTGCTCGGAGGCACCTCTCAGGTTTGCTCCCTGTGCCCCACTTCCCCGCCTGCCTTTGAACGCCCCACATCCTTTGTCCTGAGCGGAGAGGTCTCTTCCCCAGAGGCAGTCATCCTTCAAAGCTCAGCACAGCTCACATTTCTAGGGTGCCAGACAGGGTGCTAAGAAGCACTTGACCTCAATTACTTCTCATAATATTCTCTGCACATGATCATTCATTCTTTTGCAGTAACTAGAAGCTAGACACTGTTGATATTCCCAATTCACAGACTGGTCCTCACAGCCTCAGAGCCTAGCAAAGGTAGTTGCTCCACAAATGAACGAATGCATTGATGTCCTAATATGAACGCTGAAGGCAAATAAATACACTTAGCAAAGTGGGAGGATTTAGAGCGCAAAGGGGAGGGCACACTGTCTTCAAGTGCAATAGCCATAAAGGCCCAGCCGTGCCAACTTTTGGTCATTCTTTTCTCTTTTTCAGAAGCGCCACCACGTGCTGCAGACTGCCCATCCCTCCCCATTGTCGGTGTACAGAGGGTTCTTTGGGTGCAGACATTTCTCCAAGACCAACGAGCTGCTGCAAAAGTCTGGCAAGGAGCCCATCAACTGGAAGGATCTGTGACCCTGAACTGGGGGAGGGGACTGGGGATGAGGGAGGGGGTCCTCCGGGCAGTTTCTAGAAGCTGCTGTTGAAGTATTTGTCAGTGACGAAGTCGAATTGAGAAAATAACTTCCCTAGTGATCCTTAAGCACTATGCACACCAGGGAGAACGTTTCCGTAAAGGGGCCATGTGCCAGGCTGCCCAGGAGCGGCAGCGTTATTCAGCAGAGACTGTACCCGGTGACCACGGGTCTGTCTCAGGAACTTGGCTTTGGCTTAGAAGACACGTCAGTTTTGGGAAAGGAGAAGTCAAATTCTCTAGACTCTCCTCCCCTCTGTTTTCTTTATGGTTGAAGATGGGGAGATAAGCACCTTTTTAGTATCTCAGTCAGCTGCTGCTCGCTTTTACCTGTAGGCTAAACGTTAGGTTATAAGGTGTTGGGTGTTTTTATATAGAAAGGCCCCTTTCGCACATGGGCCAGGTCCACTGCCCTTTGATCCTATACAGAGCTCTCAGGCCCCTCCTGGAAGGAAATGGGATTTTTTATTTTTTGCCAGTTCCCAGAAATTAGGGGTCAGTTTCCTGATTGTAGCAGAGGAGAAAATTCCTAAGGAACAATTCCTGCCGTGAGCCTTCGGACTGGCAGAGGCCAGGAGAAGTGGGCCGGGCCTCGTGTATATTGTTCTCTGGGTGTTTCTAGGAATAAGCAGTGGAAGTTGAACAGGAAGGAGAAAGGGGTTTGGTTTGGTTTGGTGTTTTTTTTTTTAAGAAGGGAAATGGTTTTCTCCCATGTGTATCTTGAACTGGGAGAAAAGGCAGCATAGTGCCAAATGCTGTTTTTTTCTGGACTGAAATCACGTTGGGATCCCATTTTCTGCAACACTGGAGAATTTCGCTCTTTTAAAAAATACTTAAATGCCCGGCCGACGTGGCTCAGGGGTCGAGGGTCGACCTATGAACCAGGACGTCACAGTTCGATTTCTATGTGGATGTTTTGTATTTTTTTTTTACTCCTTTGTTTAAGAGACCATCTTTATTAGGGCTGAGCCTCCATCCAAGGTCCTGTTAGAGATGCTGTTAGCTGGGCTCAAAGTTAAACCTGCTTAGAGTTTGGTAATAAAAAGTTGCTGAAGTTTCACTTTGTGCCGTGCGCTTAATGCTGCTTACCCCTCACCAGTCAGCTCCTGGGCCCGGCCATCCGCGGACGCCCTTGGGCTGCCCTTGGACTGTGGTTGCCATGGCAACTGCGGTGGACAGGAAGGGCCGCCTCCATGCCGCCCTCTCTCCTTCCTCCGCCCTTGCCCCTCCCCCCTCTGTCCGCCCTGATGGAGCCGCCCACCCGTCTGCCGGGCTTTGGTAAGCGTTGGGCGGGGTTCCAGGGAGGGGCGAAGGCAGGACTGTGGCCAGGGGTCTCCGAGTCCAGTCGGGCCCTACTCCAGCGCTGTGGGGAGGCTGGGTGGGGTCAGGGTCCGCTGGGACCCTCCAGGGGCCATTTCAGCTGGAAAACATTTCTGCGGAGATCTTGGCATGCCTGTCAGGGCTGTGTCCTGCCAAACCTTGGGACACTGCGCGGGGAGCTTCCCCGGCCTCCCTCCGCTAGTGTTTGCAAACTTTCCAGGAAATCTGACGTTGAGGTGTGAGGCCAGGACGCTGGGGAAACACGGCCATAGCCCACTGACCTGCCCGCAGAGCTGGAGAGGCGGGTGGCCCATCAAGATGAGAGGCTGGCCCCGGCCGGTTCGGTTCAGGGGATAGAGTGGGTTCGGTTCAGGGGACAGAGCGTGGGCCTGTGGACCAAAGGGTTTGATTCCGGTCAAGGGCACCACCTTGGCTGCAGGCTCCTCCCCCGCCGGGGCCCTGCTGGGGGTGGGTGCCAGAGGCAACCAATCCATGTGCTTCTCTCACATGGATGTTTCTCTCTGCCTTTCCCTCTCTAAAAATCAATGGAAAAATACCCTCGGGTGAGGATTAACAAACAAACAAGAAAAAAGATGAGAGTCTGGGTGGACACTCCTGGTGTCAGAGGAAGGAGGCAGTAAAAGGGGTCAGGGGGGCTTGGTCACAGGTTCCCTGTATTTAAGAGCTTTGGAAAGGATGTATCCAGCGAGGGCACCTAGACCAGCACGGACACTTCTTAGGAAAGCAGGGAGTTGGGAAGCTTTCGCTTGAGACTCTCTTTCCCGCCACGTCTTAGTTTTATGTTTGAAGAGAAGTGCTTGCTATCCCACGTTCCGCCATCAGCAAGCAGGCCTTCACCAAAGGAAGACGCAGAACAAAGATGCATTCTTCATCTGCCCTCTGGTGACCCGGAGTCCTCTCAGCATTACAATGGGTCCCCTTGGCCAAGGGAGAAACGAGGGGTAAATATTTCTGCGGTGCTGTGAGAAGGGAGGAAGCAGGAAGCCCGGAGTTACCATAAAGGATTCAAAAAGCAAACTCCTTTTTAAAAAAAAAATATAGTGAATCTTCGAAGTATAGTGACTCTTTAAACAGAACACAGAGCAGCCTCTTACGTGGTCTATTACTCCCCCCCCGCCCCCAAAAAAATACAAATTTAATCACTGATCTTTTACTCACAAGGCTGATTGTGATGAACTTTTGGGCCGAGTGGTGGTTAAGTTTTTTTTTCACGTGTTTTCGGATTTGTTGCAATTATAGCACGGGGTATGCCACAATGAAAGGCAGTCTTGGCCTTTTCGGTCAGAGGCCTGCGTGCTTTTTCTGTAAAGGGTCGGATAGTAAATATTTAAGCTTTACGGCCATCCTATCTCTGACCTACTCCTCTGCTGTAGAGAAAGCCGCCACGTGCAAACTGTAAGCAAACAGGTGTGGCCGTGTCCCAATAAATGTTTATGGACACCGAAATTGGAATCTAATAGGATTTGCATGTGTCATGAAATCTTTTTTATTTTTTTCAAGCATTTCACAAATGTGAAAACCACTCTTAGTTCAGGAGCTACAGGAAAACAGACGGCACGGGCCATAGTTTGCAGCCCCCTGTTCTAGGGGGTCCTGCTCAGACGCCAGCAAGGACAGACCCAACTGCTGTGTCTTCCCCCTGTCCGGGTGGTTCTATGGTGGCTCACACGGGAGAACCTGGCCAACCACGATTCCTGCCTCCCCCTCTCAGGCAAGGAGAAGAGGATCTGCGGAGGGCTTTTGGAAACACAAGGAAGTCAGTTATGCATAACGTCCTGGGAACCCCAAGTTATAAAACCACATCAAAGTCACTTATCTGTGATCGGAGTCCAGTGGGGCAAGGTAGGGGCATGTGAATTGTTTTATTCATAGGCTTCAGCGTGTTGTTAATACGCTTCCATTATTAAAAGAAGATCATACATTTTTAAAAAATATATTTTTATTGATTTCGGAGAGGAAGAGAGAGGGAGAGAGAGAGATAGAAACATCAATGATGAGAATCACTGACCGGCTGCGTCCTGCACACCCTCTACTGGGGATCGAGCCCGAGACCCTTCAGTCTATAGGCCGACGCCCTATCCACTGAGCCAAGCCGGCCAGGGCTAAGATCATACATTTTTTTCCCTTTTGAAATTCACTTTCCTGCTGCGGTTTGCTCCTGGCATTAAAAAGTCTTAGGAAGGGTTTTGGATCGGAAAAGTGAACTTTTTGGTGTGTCTGTGTGTGGCAGTGGCTTTTTATCCCTTGTCAAACCTTGGAGATGTATACAAGGTATGGGCTCTGGGCTGGAGGGTCCTGGGGTGTTGGCTGGTGGTGACTCCAGCTGAGAAAAGCCTGGAACAAACCTGCTGGAGAGGCCTTTTTTCCTATTTAGGGTCCTGACACTTTAAAAAATATATGTTTTTATTGATTTCAGAGAGGAAGGGAGAGGGAGAGAGAGAAACATATGATGAGAGAGAATCATCGATTGGCTGGCTGCCTCCTGCACACCCCACACTGGGGATCGAGCCCGAAACCTGGGCATGTGCCCTGACCGGGAATCGAACCGTGACCTCCTGGTTCATAGATCGAGTCTCAACCACTGAGCCACGCCGGCTGGGCAGGTCCTGATACTTTTAATCTGCGTCTCACAGCCTAAAGTCACCTGTTGATTCTCTCAGGTGACATTTTTGAGGCGTGTTTGGAAACGCAGAGTTTGGAGAGTGGGGCAGACCAGGCGATCAATACTTGGCGTTCTTGGCTACTCAGTTGTGTGTTTCCTGTGTCCTTGTGTTTGGGGTGATGGAGAGGGGTGGGGTCTGGAGGCTTCAAACAAACAGTGTTCCTCAGCCTTCACCACAGAGTCACCTGGGGGAGCTTTAAAGAATATTAATGCCGGGCCCACTCCCAGAAATTCTGATTTCCCTGGCCCCTGGGAGGAGGAGGAGACATAGCCTGTTGATAAAGGGGCCGGTTTGCAGCAGGGCTGGCAACGTCTTTCCATGAGGCCAGGTGATTTTTTTTTCTTTTATTTTTGGCAAATGATATACAAGACTTTCTGAATCTGTGTTTTTGAAGAAATACATTTTTCTATTAATGTTCTTATGTTCGACGGGGAAAGTGGGTGACGAACTTTGGTTCCAAGCTTTGCATTGTCTTCCAGAAAACACCTGCGCCTTAAAGAGAGAGTGTCAAGGGAGAGCTGAGCCACCAGAAAGAATTCTTTGTCTGAGCGCGTGTGTGTGTGTGTGTGTGTGTGTGTGTGTGTGTGTGTGTGTGTAGTGAGAGTGGGAAGTGTTTCTAATCTTTTTTCCCTTTATTGACTTTTTTTTTGAGGACATTTTTCCATTGATTTTTAGAGATAGTGGAAGGGTGGGGGAGAGACAGAGAGAGAGAAACATCGATGTGAGAGAGACACCAATTGGTTGCCTCCTGCAAGCCCCCTGACCAGGGTGGGGGATTGAGCCTGCAACCGAGGTATGTACCCTTGACTGGAATCTAATCTGGGACCCCTCAGTCCCGACAGAGAGAGAGAAACATCGATGTGAGAGAGACACCAATTGGTTGCCTCCTGCAAGCCCCCTGACCAGGGTGGGGGATTGAGCCTGCAACCGAGGTACGTGCCCTTGACTGGAATCTAATCTGGGACCCCTCAGCCCGCAGGCTGATACTCTATCCACGGAGCCAAACCGGCTAGGGCTTTCTAATCTTTCTGAAAGCAAGGCATTCGATTCGATTTTATGAAGTCCCTGCTGTGAGCAAGCCACTATGCCAGCCACTCGCTGACTATTGTTTCATTTCATTTTCTCTCCCGTGTGATGAAGTAGTTGGAGGAGGACACTGGCTGGGCCCGTTGCCCAGAGCCACAGGTAGCAGGGCTCGGATTCAAACCCACGGCAACCCGATTTCACAGCCCAATCGTCTTGTCGCTATTGACACTCTGCCCAGACCAGCATTATTTGCTGTCCCCGGGAATTTAAGTGGAGTCTAAAGTGTTCCCCTCGCTCGCAGATGGCTCTCCCGGGAAACCCAGAAGGACGTGTCTGTGGTTGGAGAGGTGCCTCTTTGAAAGGCTCGCATGAGCCACTCGAGAGTGAAGTAGCCTTGATAAATAACCTAACCGCAGTCACAGGGGCAGCCGATGACCAAGAACTCGGGGACGTGGGCCCTGGGCTAAGCCCTCCAGCCGTAGTGCTTTATCCTCAACGCCTACAAAACGGATGTGGCACTATTCCAGGTGACAGCGGATGACCCCGAGGTTTCAAGAGGACCCGGGAGGCTGCAGACAGTGCTCGTCCTGATTATCAGTGCCGTGGAGACAATCCCAAGAAGTCCACTTCTCGGAAAACAAGCCCACAAGTGAACTAGCTGCTCCCCACCGCACCTGGCCCCGCCACCAGGTAAACTGTTTTGCATAAGCTCAGCTCTTATGGCCGTTTTTCCCACTTGCCTCCTGGTTTACAGAGTACAATGCCCTTTTGTGCAGCCTCCCCTTTCCTGCCGCAGGCTCCAGTTTGGACCCGGAGATGACCTTTGTCCCACATGCCGCTGGCCCTCCCCGCATGGCAGGACATTCTGTAACTGCCGGGGATGCTGGGTTTCTCCCAGCCCCAGCCAGGGCCAGCCGACCCCCCGGTGGGAATGGAGCTCTTTGGGGTTTGCTTTTCTTTCCCCAAGTCCCTGGGAATGGGAAACTGTTACCTTGAGTGGCATTTGCATGGAGAA